TGGAGACACATGACTGCTTGGTCCCTACCTCAGCGCTGCTTAAGAAATCTGAGGCTCTGAGGAACTTACGAAACCACTGCCCCAAGCCAAAAAGACACCTAGATTTGTCCCCTAAACATTTTGCAATTGAGTCGTAGTTCATATTTTTTTCTTCAACTTGGAATGCCAACAAATGAAAATTCCATGAAAGAACGTGTCCCATGATATGTCTACAGCAAGCACTCAATAAATACATGTTGAATGAATGATGCTCTTCTTCCTAAAATCCTGTCAGTCTTCAGTGCCATGTAAACAGGATCTTAGTTTTAAAATCTTCTACAATTCTGCTACATAGAATTAAAGTATGTGTCCTATAAACGTTAGGCAGTGGGCCAGGTACTGGGGATACAGAACTCAGGACAGTTCCTGCCCTTGAAGACTCTCAGTCTGGAATTCTTACAATACAGTTCTTATGCAATTCTTTGTACCCATTTATTCATTCTGCAATTACATGAATACCTATCACAAATCAAACACACACCCTATTTTACTCCTATTACCTTATTTATCTTAAAACTATCACAAAGATCAGAGACCTGATAATTCTTGAGTAGCATTTAAAGTAATTACAGAATAATTCTTTAAAAAATTTTCTAATGTAAATGTTAGAAACCAAAATCATATTCACCTATTAATTACAAAACTAGATTCCTATGTAAACCAACTTATATTTTGTTTAAAAAAAGTGTTAAGGTTTCTCAGCTGTATGAATTAATACTACATAATGAACTACTGCTTAAAAGTATTCTAAAAGGTAAAATGTGTCTACCCTTTAACACAGCAATTCTACTTTTGAGACTATCCTAAATACACCCATACACTTAAGGATGTATGAATATCTACTGGCCTACAGATAAGTGGAATGACAATATCAAGAAATGAAAAAGGAAACTTGTAGAAAAATATGTATGGTATGATTCTTTGTTATTAAAAAGGAAAAATAGAATGTATAATTACATAAACACAAGCCTATGGTCTTAATGTTTGTGTCCCCCCCCAAATTCATATGCTGAAATTCTAACCCCCAAGATGATGATGGTATTTCGAGGTGGGGCCTTTGGGAAGTGACGAGGTCATGAGGGTAGAGCCCTCACAAGCAGGATTGGTGCCCTTTAAGAAAGACCCGAGAGATAACTTTTTTCAGAAAATATAGCAAGCATGCGGATACAGCAAGAATGCAGATACAGCAAGAATGCCCCATCTATGAACCAAGAAAAGAGACCTCACCAGACACCAAGTCTGTCAGCACCTTGATCTTGTACTTCCCAGCCTCCAGAATTGTAAAAAATAAATTTCTGTTGTTATAAGCCGCTCCGTTTGTGGCATTTTATTATAGCAACCCAAGTGGACTAAGACAGAAGGATACATCTAAAACTATTAATGGTGGTGACTCCACAAAATGAGACAAAGAGAGAGAGGACTGCTTTCCAGATATTTCTCTATGTTGTTTGAGAAAGAGCATATATCATTTTTGTAATAAAAAAATGAAAAAGTTTATCCTTTTAAATGTATAAAATAGGCCATTGCAGTACATTGAGCTCCACAGAGACAGTGCCAGGGCAGGTGAGAGCCGGACGGGCACCAGGCGACTCGGTGCCACGCCGAGGAAAAATAACTGAGCATGGGCAAAGGAGATCCTAAGAAGCCAAGAGGCAAAATGTCATCATACACATTCTTGCCGGGAGGAGCACAAGAAGAAGCACCCGGATGCTTCCGTCAACTTCTCAGAGTTTTCTAAGAAGTGCTCAGAAAGGTGGAAGACCATGTCTGCTAGAGAGAAGGGAAAATTTGAAGACATGGCAAAGGCCGACAAGGTCCATTACGAAAGAGAAATGAAAACCTATATCCCTCCCAAAGGGTAAACAAAAAAGAAGTTCAAGGATCCCAACGCTCCCAAGAGGCCTCCTTCGGCCTTCTTCTTGTTCTGTTCTGAGTATTGCCCCAAAATCAAAGGAGAGCACCCCGGCCTGTCCATCGGGAATGTCGCAAAGAAGTTGGGAGAGATGTGGAATAACACTGCTGCGGATGACAAGCAGCCTTAGGAGAAGAAGGCCATGAAGCTGGAGAAATACGAAAAGGATATTGCCGTTTACCGAGCCAAAGGCAAGTCCGATGCGGCAAAAAAGGGAGTCATCAAGGCGGAAAAGAGCAAGAAAAAGAAGGAAGAGGAAGAAGGTGAGGAGGACGAAGAGGACAAGGAAGAGGAGGAAGACAAAGACAAAGATGAAGATGATGAATAAGTTGGTTCTAGTGCAGTTTTTTTCTTGTCTATAAAGCCTTTAACTCCCCTGTACACAACTCACTCCTTTTAAAGAAAAAAACTGAAATGTAAGGTTGTGTAAGATTTGTTTTTAAACTGTACAGTGTCTTTTTTTGTATAGTTAACACACTACCAAATGTGTCTTTAGATAGCCCTGTCCTGGTGGTATTTTCAATAGTCACTAACCTTGCCTGGCACAGTATGGGGGTTGTAAATTGGCATGGAAATTTAAAGCAGGTTCTTGTTGGTGCACAGCACAAATTATATGGAGATGGTAGTTATATATGGGGATGGTAGTTTTCCCATCTTCAGTTGTCTCTGATGCAGCTTATACGAAATAATTGTTGACTGTTAACTGAATACCACTCTGTAATTGCAAAAAAAAAAAAAAGTTGCAGCTGTTTTGTTGACATTCTGAATGCCTTTAAGTAAATAGAATTTTTTTATTAAAAAATAAAATAAAATAAATGTATAAAATAGCTTTTTTCCTGTGCTTTAGTTCTAAATGTGGGTAGTCCCTGAAGTCTGAACATTTGCCAAACAATCATCCTACAAACAGGCTGCTGTGCTATATACCAAGCGGCTTGAAGGGCAAAAGGGAGAAGGGCAGAGGCTGCACATCAGGGACGGCCTCTCTTCTCACCAAGAGGCCTCACATGCTGAGGGATAGGGAGGAAGGAGGAAAATGTATTTAACACAAAAATACAGTGTTAACAAGAAATAATAAAAGAACACAAAAATGGAAATGATTGGCTGGTTCCCAAGTTTGTTAAAAATAAGTAACTAAAAGGTCAATTAACCTATAATTTATTTGAGATACTATATATTTCCAATAATCCTTTTCTCCCCATTCAGTATTGCAGTTGTAAATCAAATTCTACAATTAATTTCCTTTAGAAACTATATTTTGTCTTTAACACCAACAAATAACCTAAAAGCCCTAAGAGTTGATAGTTCAGAGCACTCTAGGACAAGTAATGTTTCATCTGCTTTCAAACACCGCAGTTAAGCTGTATTATGTCCAATGTAATCAGGGGATGAGATGGCTTTGGGATAAATGCTACTATTCCCACCATTCCAATATCTGTACAGCACTTTAGAGTTTACAAAGTTATTTGATACATGAATCAAATGTTCCAGCTAAGAGAAACCAATTAAATTAAATACACGCATCAAACATTATAAACATATACAACAATTTAATCTTTAATAATTAAAAAGGTGGCAGAGCATGAATTGAAATGTATTGCTAAGAGCTGTTGTGAACATCAATTTAAACTGTATAGTAGATACTTAGGTATTTTCATAAATAAAAAATTGAAACTGAGTAACTACCACAAGACCAAAAGTTTATTTTAACTTTTATAAGCAAAGGTCAATTCTTTGAACAAAGTCTACCCCACTGGGCTATGTCTTATAGTTAATAAGTAATCCACTCACAAATTTTTCTTTGTACATAAATAACAAACACAGGAAAGTCTGAGCTATAATCCTTGACAAAATATTTTTGATATCACTTCTTCCCTAAAGGGTTAAAAAAAATTAGGTAAATATGATTTCCCATCAAGCAATAATAGTTTTGCAACAAGGAGTCTTATAACTATATATAGAATTTTCAAGTTGGAAAACTGAAAAATCTAATTTAAAAAATATTACTAGGCACTCAATATATATACCAAACGCCAAACACAAAAAATAAAAATACACATCCACTTTCTTCCAGACACAGCAAAGATAAACAAATTTTATAGTGCTTTTACATAAATTAAAACTATTCCAAGAAAATGTGTCATATATATGAAGTCAGTAAGATTACACTTTCCAGATATTTAGGAAAGTGCAGTATAGAGAAGGGAATGAAGAATGGGTCAATTCACACAAAACAACAACAACAAAAATAAGGTATCATAAATCATCTAGAATGAGTGAGAAGTAAAATTCAACTACAAGACTCAAATGAGACTAAGTGATAATAAGAAAGGTCATACAAAGTAAATCCATTTAAAATGGAGATCAAATTTTATAGTCAATAGTGGAACTCAAAACATTGTTTAGAACATTCTCTGGGGAAAAACTTATAGTTTCTTTGCCTTGTAAGTAATAACATTTGGGTCATAATGAAAACTACGTGCTTATTCTTAGAACATAAGAGTGAATCAAATGTTGCGCTTGTGGGAAAATTTTTCCCATCAAATTGTATGATAGCCCAATTCAAAATAATTTGATTTTCATAGGGCAATCATAAAGAAGGTTTTGTCTTGTTTTCAAAACAAAGGTTGTATTAAGCTTCCTAAATGCCTCTCTCAATTCTTTAATCTTCAAATCATTCTCTTTTTAATGCCTATAACTCAAAGTCATCCCTGTTAGTCTTTCTCTTGTTTGCTTTTTATCTGGGGGGTTGAGTGCTGTAACATCCAAAAGTCACCTAGGAAGCTTAACACACAAATCACAAGTCAGGACAGATACACACGCTAAACGAAGAGGGGGTTTTGACTGGGGACTAATTTTATAAGTGGTACATTAGTGAATATTTTGCTTTTCTACACAATTCCTCCTGCAACCTGAGAATTGCAGGAACTTAGATAACAAATTCAGAAAATGGGATAGACATCTTCGTCTGAATATCTTAGGATATATAAAATGTATCTTGGTCAGGATCACATTTATAAATGATTCTTTGTAATGCAAAATAATACTGTACCAAGGTTGTAAGGGAGTTCCTTTTCATATACAGTCTTTCCAAGTACTGCAGTCCCTCATCTTTCAGTAACTCCAGTGGGAAATGATGCAGATTCCTATAATTTAAGAATAAATTCTTGTGCTTTTCCAGTCTTGCCACAGAGATCGTTTTACAAAGTTCAGATGCCATGACTGAATATATCCCATCAGCCACGCTGTGGTACTACATCTTGTCAAAATTGGTCCATTTCTATAAAAAGAAAAATTATTCATTATAAGACTTCTTATAAGCACTGGCATATAAACCAGTTAGCATACAAAACTACTTGCAGACACTAAAAAGATAATCACACATTCAATTCTATATTTTTTTCATAACAATTAAAATTGTCACACATATTTAGGAGATTAAAAGATGCAACAATTTAATTTTTTTAAGAAACCTCTGATTAAGCAATAGTTAATGCTTATTAGAAATGGTCCTAATGAAAATAAGTTTTTAGACTTGAGACAGGAACCCTTGTCTAAGAGAATGTGACCAGTTTCGTAACACGCAACCAAAGAAGCAGCTTAAAAATCTAATGTAGCAAACCTCATTTCCTTTCTGAACTATCTCATTTTATATTTAGCTTAAGATATTTCAAAAGTATTAAAATACACATATTATTATCTAGAGCACCAATACCTTAATTTCCTTCATTTCTTAGTATTTAAATATTGCCCTGTATTCTAATTTTTTCTTTAACTCATTTTTCCTTTTCTTTCTTTTTAGGTTTACAGATTATCAGAAGTAGCAAAGAAATAGGTCCAGGGCCAGTTTCTTTATTTTAAATTATTTCAGTGAAAGAAGAAACACTGCACTAGGAAACACGGGCCCTGTGTCATTCTATTTCAAACTCTCTGGACCTCTGTTGTCCAATATATAAAATGGAGATAACAATTAATGTATAGGTTTGAAGGCCTGAATCCAGGACAGTATATCTTAAATTCTTGTCTAGCTCCAAAATTTTGACAAGGATGGGAAGAGAAGTAACATTTGCTATCTTATCCACTGGGCACAGAGCTGAAACAAACTTCATTAACACTCAACACAAAAAGAAACAAACTCAAGGCATCTATATTTCTCGGAAGTGAAACAACTCAAGGAATAATAGCAAGGGTATGAAGCCAGGTCCAACCAGGGAATCAGCAAACATGATGAAATGTACCAGTCAACCATCATTCCACATTTGCATTCCACAGGCAAGTGAAAAATGCCACACACCTATGCATCGACCCAGTGATATGAACTATTCTGTAATACTCTCAATGCAAAATAAGAATCTAATACTTTCTCATATTTATTCCATCTCCTTACCTACTATGTGAGACACAATATGTGACTTTGTACAAGATACTCAGTCTCTCACCTGTAATGCAAGAAGTAGACTACAAATAACATTGATGATTCAGCATGGAAAGTAAAACTTTCTAGGTAATTATTCACTAAACTAGTAAACTAGAAGCGGTATTAATGGCTCACGAGCATCTCAAACTTAAGGCATTCAAAGAGAGCTTTTGATTTTCATCACCAATCCAAATCTCTCCAGGGTCTCCCAGCTCAGCACACCTATATCCGCTCAGTGGCTCAAGCGGGACAGCTGAAAGTCATGAACGATCTCATGCTCTCATTCATCAACCACCTCCGATCTATCACAAGGCTAGTGGCTTCCATCTCCACAATACATCTCAAATCCATCCAAATCTCTCCATCTGCCAAAACCATAAGCCACTGTCATCTCCTGCCTGGCCACCTGTATTACTGGTCTCCCTGTATCCACACTAGTCACTTCCAACACATTAATCACAGCAGTGAACTTTAAAAATGTAAATCCAATTACATATCACTCTCAGGCATACATACTAAACAAACCCTTCAGAAGCTTCTTGTTTAGAAAAACAAACTCATACCACGCCTTCAGGGCTCCTCACCATCTGCCGCTACCCACTTCTCCAGCACTCTTACTTAGCTTCTCACCAAGTTCCAGGGCTTTTCTACTCCTCAAAACTACCAACACCTCCCAGAACTTGCTGCTCTCCTCTTAGCCTGGAAAACAATGTCCCATCATCCTCCAGGTTTCAATGTACAAATCCTTCCCTATCCCCAAGTATATCCCTGGTATGCTTTCAGAGCAACCCAGCTGTTTTTTCCTCAAGGGTCTCGGACAATTTGCAATCTATCTAGTTATTGGTGCACCTGTTTATTGTCAAGCTAGCCAGAAGTCTGTAAGATCCTGAGGGCAGGACTTTGCTGCTTTCACCACGCTTGCATACCTGCATCTAGCACAATGTCTAAAAGTAAGCCTTCAAGCATCTGATGAATGGATGAAATTAGAACATGTGGAGTAATGTTGCAAGGCTGATTTTTCATCTACCCATCTCAAGACCACTTATGGAGTCTATACACTTGCAATATGCCATAAGGATCTCTAATCCTTATCACCATGCACTGCTATTGACATTATTTGGCCCATCTTACAGATGAGGAAACTGAGTTTCTCAGAAGGTAATTAACTCGCCAGCATCCCTCGCAGGCGGATTGACTGCAAAGCTCATGCACCATTCTACAACGCAGCCATTCACGCACTTCCTATGGTCAGCGCGTCTTTCTATCATTTATGTGGCAGGCAAAGCTTTCACAAATGGAAGGCTTGCTTTGTAAAGTAAAGCTATATCCAAAATCCACACTCACTGAAGGAAGATTGAATAAGGAGATTCCCTGTAACCCGACGGCTTTCCTTCTGAGTGCTCTGGCTGGGACTGGCTGCCTCAAAAACATCACACCCCGTTAAAATGCATCTTGCCACAAAGACTTGGAGAGAAAAACTATACAAATGAAATCCAAAAGCTGAGAAAAGTCAACAATGCTCGTAGTATTCCAATATGCATTCATGCACATACAGCCTATAACAAGATAATTTTCTTAGCCCATTTCACGTGACTGCCGCTTATCGACAGTTACAGCAAACTGTATATTTAATATCAACCGTATACAGCTGCACCTGCATACAAGTTTTCTGACAGGTGAACACCAATTTATCTTTAAAAAAAAAAGTCAAAAAACCTCTCATCGTAAGAACAGTTCAGACATTTCACGCAGGAGTATTTTAAAGAAAAGGGGAAGAGAGACTTCCCCGTGTTCAAGTCAGTGAATATCTATGCCACTTTTCTTAACACTGGAGATCAGAGATTACAAACTGTATCGCAAAAGCATCTGGACAAACGCTGGCAGAAGTCTTAGGCGAATCAGACGCCGGTTTTGCCCGAGACAGCCAAACACTAAGGACGCTACAGTTAGAGGCAGCGAGTCCGGCGGCAGAGGTTTCACGGGCCGGCGGCAGAGGTATCTGGATCCTCCGGTCCGAGGGCCGCGGGGCCGCGGAGGAGGACCCGACAGCTGCGGCGCCCCAAGGCCCGTACGACTCCGCGGTTCCACTCGCCGCGGCCCGGACGCCTTTACGGGACCTGGTCTGGGGCGTCCCCGCCGGGGGCCTGGCCGGGGAGTCCTGCCACGTGAACCCTCCGACGCCGCGGACTGCCGTACTCACCTCGGTG